TTTTTAGGATCACGTAAGTGCACACAGGTGCAACCGCACTGGTTGACCATTCACAACTCCCCTTCCCCCACAAACCCCCCTACCGCCCAATTTGTTCCCCCATCCCCCATCCCACCATGCCAGGGTTCCGGGAGACACTAAGAGCGGACATAGACGTGGGGCGGTTTCAGAGGGAGGAGGCAACAGCGCGCAACATGAACCTCGTGCTGGTGTCGCACGGGCTCACCCTGCGCGTCTTCCTCATGCGTTGGTACAAGTGGACGGTGGAGCAGTTCGAAGGGCTCTACAACTTCCCCAACGCTGGCTGCATGATCATGCAGCTGGGGCCGGGCGGCAGGTATGTGTGTATGGGGTGGTGATCATGCTCTCTCATTCACGCACATGCACTCAACTCTCATGCACTCAACTCTCATGCACTCAACTCTCATGCACTCAACTCTCATGCACTCAACTCTCATGCACTCAACTCTCATGCACTCAACTCTCATGCACTCAACTCTCATGCACTCAACTCTCATGGCACGCACCTTGCAGCTTCTTCTCCTCTTTTCCTCCTCTCCTATCTCCTCCTCTTACCCTGACCTGACCTGACCCACTCCTCGCACCTGTGCACATCCCGTCACTCGTCTGTGCACTCCCCCTCTCACTTCCCTCTGTGCATTCTATCTCACCCACCCATCCACGTCCCCCACAGGTACAGCCTGCGCATGCACCATAGCCGCGAGAAGCTTGGGGCTTCACCCGTCTACACGCCCTCCAACTCACCCGTCTCCCCCCCGCCCTTCTCACTCACCTGTGCACACCCCCTCTTACTCACCCGTTTCCTCCCGCCCTTCTCACTCACCCTTGCACACCCCTTCACCCGCCCCCCTCCCCACACTCACTCGCCCATCCACGTCCCCTCCCAGGTACAGCCTGCGCATGCATCACAGCCGCGAGGAGCTGCGGGCGTTCGGGATGACGGAGAGCATGATCGACGACCAGGAGTGGTGAGATCCATGTTCCCTACATCAACCGCATATGGCATTGCCTAGATGCACATCTGAGTAGTATATTCTGTGCATTCACTCCCTCCCAGGCCTCGGTAATCAATCAAGCTGAGTAACGTGTCGGCGTGCTTTTTATGGATGCTAGGCTGCTGAAGTCTATGGTTTTTGTACGTCCCGAGTGGGTGCTGTGCTGCTTCCACTGCCTTGAAGGACAACCAGTCAAATCCAAGTGCTGCTTGAAGACAAAAGTTAATAATGCTGGAATCAAATCAAGGGCAGCTCACTTGTGCTTCCTTGCTGCCCATTCTATTGCCTGCCATCCCGCCAGGCAAATCACGGCCAAGCCGGGGGATCTAAATCCCTGTTGGCTGACATCAGGCGCGGGGTTCTTTGACCACTTTGATGAGAACGAAGAGTGCGGCATTCAGCGCGACTACATGTGCAAAGGAATCTCTGAGCTATGCGACGAGGAATTCGGTGACGGTGTATATCGCAATCATTGATTGATAGAGGTGATGGTAGTCTTGTCGCGGTGAAGTGAAACCCACTGGAAAATAGGAGACATCAGTGTTGGTACTGCCTGATTTTGATAGTGTACATATGATACCCGTATTCCCCCGGATATAAGACCCTAGGGTCTTATCCTAAATCCCTAGAAAAAATGGGGGGGTCTTAACAAAGGAAAAAAATTTATGCCACCCGGGTCTTATCATACGACACAGTTTTCTTTCAGTGTTCTGAACAATACAACAAATACTGATGTTGAGGGTTTGCTTTTGGTGAGTTTAAACCAGCGGATCGTGCATCGCTTGACATGCTGCCAGGTGGCTCTGGTTTGGATTCCCACTTACGGCATCAACCGTCGTGTCTACCCCCTGTCGAACCTAAAGGCTAGGCCTGGTGGTGGTCATGCACTGTCGGCGAGGTGGGATGCACCACTGACCTAGCCTAGCACGTCCCTTTCGTCACGACCAACGCGCGGGTGTGTGTCCCGCGCCTTGACAACCTCCCCCCTCACGTTTCTTCCTTATGCTCGGCTCGCTGTGAGACAGCCATTCTTCACGTCACAATGTCCCTTATCCCATTTGTACAAATTCTAGCATCCTCTCGTGTCTCACCACATTGTCGCTCCCATGGCGTCAAGTCCAGATTCCGGCTTAGCGCACATTAGGCGCCGACGGGCGCAAGCTAGCACCAGTCAGGCTGCTCCGAGGATTAGCCCTCGTCCTTCTCTCCCGACTCCGACTTCTAGCAATCCATCAAGCAACTCCAGTGCCTCCGACTCTGAAGAATCGCGGGGTCCGCTGCCTAGCGTGCGCGTTCCTGCTTTCCCTTCCCAAACCAGGCTGCAGGGTAAGAAGAAGAGGAACTCTGATGCGCAGACGCCTTCGCCACGTCACCGCATGACGAAGAAGAAGCGTCACTCGTACACGGCAACAGAGAAGCTTCACTGGCTGAAGATGCAAGAGCTTCAGCCAGACCTTTCCAACCGCAAGCTGGCGCGGATGGCAAACGTGCAGCAGTGCCAGATCCGAGAGTGGAAGAAGCTCGCTGAGAGGCTCAAGGTTTCCGCGGGTTGTCGCTGTCGCCTCGCCGGTGGTGGCCGCAAGGCCAAATATCCGCCCATGGAATGTGCCGTCTATCGGCAGTTCCTGGCTGCACGCTCGAAGGGCCTGCCCGTATCGATCGCGCAAATACAAAAGTGGAGCCGCACTTGGATGAAGCACCGGCTTCCTAGGGTGACATGGAAGGCGTCTTCGCGCTGGACATTCCGCTTTCGTCGCCGGTGGTCTCTGGCTAGGCGCGTCAAGACCAAGATGGGCCAGAAGTTGACCGCCGGTAAGCATTGGTTTAATCCCTCATCGATTTGCCCTCGGATTGCTCCACATCCTTCTCGATTCATGGCATCTGACGATTCTTTACGCTTTTCTTTTTTGTGCATGGCAGATTGCAAGCCAAAAGCGGAGTCGTTTTGGCAGTTCGTGCGTCAGATGCGCACACTCCACGATTTCCCTCTGAATCTCATCGTTAACGCGGACCAGACCCCGCTATTTTTGGAGATGTCGTCTGAACGAACGCTCGAGATGAAGGGTGCGCGCACAGTCCACGTGCGCTCTGCCGGCTATGAGAAGGAGCGACTTACCGTCATGCTGGCTGTGACGGCGAGTGGAATGAAGCTGCCCCCCTACGTCGTTTTCAAGCGGAAGACCCTGCCGAAGATTCCTATTCCCGAGGGTAAGCACTTAAATGTGTGCTCAGTTTGTTGTAACGGTTCACTGATGTCTCGCTTTTGCGCATTGCAGGCATCGTGGTGCGCGCCCAGGCCAAGGGATGGATGGACGAGTCCTTGGTCCAGGACTGGACCACTCAGGTCCTCGTCCCCTTCCTGCGTCCTTTGCGGGATGGAGGGGGTCGGCACAAGGAGGCTCTCTTGACGCTGGACTCCTATCGTGGTCACCTCACGGAATCCGTGAGGCAGACTATGCGGATGTTCAGGATCACCCGCGCAGTCATCCCGGGAGGCTGCACTCCGCTCCTGCAGCCTCTTGATGTAGCGATCAACCGCGCCTTCAAAGCGGGGATGAGACACCACTACTCAACGTGGTTCGAAGAAGAAGGGGTGAACCACAGGACCCGCGCTGGTGAGTTAATGTTCTTTGCCTCTTCGTCCGACTGTAAAGCGCCCGTCAATCTTCTGACGGTGTGTCATCTTCTTTGTTGTTGCTTGCAGGGAACCTGAAGAAACCACCGGCAGAACTCACCTTGCGGTGGATCGATGAGTCATGGACGGCCGTGCCAGAGGAGCTCGTCAGGAAGGCGTTCCTGACGTGCAACATCTCCAACGCGCTGAACGGCGACCAGGACCACCTCATCCTTGCACACTTGCGGGACAAGGTGGATATCGACGTCCTGGAGGACGTGCAGGAGGAGGAGGAGGACGTGACTCATCCCAACCCCTTCTACGAGGACCCTGAGGAGGTCGCGGCGCGAGCCAGCCCCCAGACTGCAGCGGAGCAGGAGGTGCATGCCGACAGGAGCTTGACTGACGAGGAGGACAACACTGACAAGGAGGATAACGATGACGACGATATGGCAGACCAAGACTACGTTGACGAGGCAGATGAGGGAGTAGAGGGAGCAGATTCTGACCTGGAGGATGAGTGGTGGGCTCCTGGCCGGTATGAAGGGGAGGAGGTTGAAGAGTGGGTTGCGGGGGCTGATGATAGCTAGAAGCAATATTTGAACGAACCAGTAGATGCTCTAGATAGGGTGCGGCGCTTGATCCTTAACATAGTACGTAGTTGTTCTCCACCCTAAACTTTGTTATTTTCTGCTCTATTAGTGTTTTTTGCCTGGAAATGTTCATCAGAAAGCCCCCTATAGGGGACAAGGGGGGTCTTATATAAATTACCCCCCAAAGGGGGGGTATAACGTTTCTGAGGTTAAATAAAAGACCCCCCCCCCCCGTATTAGGTACCCGGGGGTGTTGTATTTTGGGGGGGTCTTCTATCCGGGGGAACACGGTAAGATACATGCCACGGCTCCCTTAGCCTCTAAACGAAATCAAGCCGACGAAGCAAGCAAGCAGATGCCGCCCACTCTCTTGCACATTTAGATTTGGATTCGGTTTTTTTGAACTTATGTGATACAGGTGCTACATAAATTTTAATGTACCATACAACTTTCCTGGTATCGGGGAACCATTTTGGGAGGACGAGGTTAGCTAGCGAATCTGCATGTTGGGGGGGTCGAATTCGAAGTCTCTTGGCTAGAATGAGGCTTATCTAGGTAACGCGGTACCCCTATTGTGACACTACTAGTGGCCGCAGTTCTCCTCGAATTGACCTCATTCTGCCAAGCTTCGACTCGTCTAGGCGGCACGAGTAAGGGAACCGTGGCAGCAATTCATTGCCCTCCAACCTTCCCGAACTCGTCAAGCAGCTCAATAGATCAGTGGGTGATCCTTGCTATTAAGACCAGCTCTTCTGCGGAACCCCGCCTGGCATAGCCATGGACTCGGAGAATCCATCGAAATTAGGCGCCCATCACGGTCAGCACGGGGCGCAGCAGGCGCTCAGCGTGGGTGGCGAGCGAATGGTATCGCTGCTGGTGGGGCCTGAGAGGACGAAGTTCCTTTGCAACGCGTCCCTACTCTCGCGCTACTCGCCCTTCTTCGCCTCTCTTCTCAGCGACCGCTGGACCGCCGCTGCTGGTAGTAGTAGTGGCTGCTCTGGAGATGGCGAGAAGGGCGTGGCGCTAGTGGCGAGCGCGAAAAAGGGTGCTGGTGATTTGGTTGACAGCTGGAAACTAAAATCCGTGGATGCCGACATTTGTGCCCAAACCACCCACCCACACGCGTAGGGTGGTAATAATCTGCGGCCTAACCCCATGACTTGGTGAAGCACCCCATGTTAAATACGCAACGCACCTCACAATAATGCAGTAATTACCTGCACTCTTCTAGATTTTTTAGAACAGCAATAAAAGCGTGCAGAATTGCTACTTGTGAAATAATAAAGGTGAGCTCGCAATGCGAGATGGTTGGTGGTGCGACAAGGCGCAACCGCAGGGAGGTGAGTCAGGGTCGGTCAACCCAGCCATCACTTGCCATCTGTCAGCGACGGCTGATCACCAACGTGTTGGACCGATCGTCTCTATTTTGCTCACGTCGACTCAACCCCCAGGAACAGCGGGCGTGCCTTCTAAGGAAACGGGTAACACTTGTTTCGCACACATTCGTGACCATTTTCTGAAGTCAAATGTGCAGGCATTCGTGACTTTGGTCCCAGCCTGTCGATGAGCGAAAGCGCGACACGGTGAGGTAAGGGGGAAGGGAACTTCGCCCGATGATGTCGAGACTCGACTTGAGGCGAGATGGGTGGGTGTCGTGAGAGATGTGAGGGTGGAATGGTAGTTTCGCTGCTTTGGCTGTATTGCGTGCTGCTGCCCCCCAATCCAACTTGTGCGGTACGCACATCATCATCGACTGCGTGGGGCACGAGAGTAGATGGCTTCAACCAACCATGGCTGCCACATTGCCGCATCAAAGTGGAGAGGTACAAAACAGCCACACCGACCAGTGCAGTGATGCATACGCATCTGGTTTGAAAGAAGGATTCGATTAGTGCCAGCTTAACCCGCTAAAACAACCCGCTACCGTCGAGCTAAGGTGTAGCCGACTCAAAAAGCGTGTCAGATATTATCGCCTGTCGCGGACCGCATGGTCCGTTGAGGGCATGTACGGCCTGCACCGCCGCATCGAGTTCGCTATCCGCCATCGTAGGAAGTCACATATCACAACGGCTCGCATGCACCTCTTGAAGCCATTATATAGCTCTCACAATCACAGAGCCTACGCAGTACAGCTTGCACTGCCGAGCTATCGATTACCCTTTCCGCAGCACAAAGCCGCTGTGAGTCGCACACCCTCGCAGACGAAACGGAAACTCGCGGTAGGATTTTCACCGCCGCCAGGCGCGCAGATTGCCGCCTGGCCTCGCTCTCCCCGCCGCGCTCGTTCCGCTTCTCATCCCCGCGCCGACCATGGCGTCGACGGCCTTCCCCTCGCTCTCCTCCACTGTAGCCCCTCCGCCTTCCGCCCTTTGGTCCGCCAACCTCTCCGTGAGTCCCCCCAGCCTTCCCCGTCAGCGCGCTTGCGCCGATTCCCCCATTTTCGCGCGCTCATACGCGGAGGCCACAGCACCTTTTGCCGTCGCTCATCGCATCATCTTGTCCTCCTCCTTACCTCGTCCCACCTAACCCCGCGCTTGAATACTGATTGTCTCCTTTGCTGAAACCCCCACTTCTTGCCGTTCCCCCAGGCTCCATACCCGACAAACGAGCCGTGGCAAAACTTCGTGCTAGGCCAGGGCGGCAGCCCGGAGCTCGTGAACCCGTACGTGGTTCAGAGCGGCGACGGGCGCGTCGCGTGGGGGATACCGGCGCGCAACGCGCAGCCGGCATACATCATCCAGGCGTTCATCACCAACCTCATGCTCTCCACGCTGCAAGGCCTTCCGCCGCACCAGGTCTCCGCCTACGACGATCTCTCCGTTACCCTCTCCTTCCGCCCGCCCTCCGCCGCGCCTTCCGCGCCCCCCGCGCTCGTGGTTCCGCTGGTGCGCGGCTCCCCGTATTTGACTTTCATATTCCCCCAGGGCGGGCCCCCCGCGACGCCCGTGCTGAAGACGATCCACGCGATTCTGAGCGTAGAGGCGCGCGGCGACAGCAAGTACCGCGTCGCGCTCAACAACGGCCAGGTGAGGTCACCGCCCTTGTTGTGCGCCGCTCTGCGCGTCTCTGCCGCGCCGCCACTGGCGTTTCCCCTCCCCCCCCCCTCCCCCTCCCCCGGTTGTGACCCCAATCTGGGCGTATCCCATTTCGTTTGTTTTTCGCCCATCCATCGTCCCTGCTGCCCATCCATCCGCTTACTTCCAACAACCATGCAATCCTCTGAACCCAAGCCAACCCCGCATTAACCGCATTCCGCCACGTACCGCCCCTCCTCCCCGGCTGGCAGACATGGCTGGTGTACCTATCGTCGCCGCTGGCGCTGCGGCAGGATGGATCGTCGATCGTGGCGGGCGCGCCGTTCACGGGGACCATGCGCATCGCGCTGCTGCCCGGCAACTCCCCGCAGCGCGAGGAGGCGCTGCTGGACGCGCACGTGGCGACGGTGCCGGTGGGCGGGCGCGCGCGGGTGGGCGCGTTCCGCATCAAGCTAAGCTGGCGCACGCAGCAGTGGCGCAAGCTGGCTCCCGGCGGCACCAAAACGCCGCTGCTCATGCTGTCTCTGCCAGGTCAGTTGCGCTTGCCACGTGTACTGCTTCCGTGTGTGCTGCCACCTGCGCCACCTGTGCCATCACAAGCGTCATCATGAACGGACACATCATCACCAAAAAGGCAAGGCCAGAATCCATGACCAAAACTAGGCCTCGCACATCTATGGGATCTGACCATTGTACGAGGAATTAAAAAGGTAACCTGAACCGATAATTTTAGTGAACAGTCGGAACCATTGTCCCCCCCCCCCCCCCCCCCCCCCCCATCTTCTTTTGAAGCGCCCCAAAAACAGACCATTCTGCATCATGGTCCTTACTAAGATAGTACCTCCTCCCCCTTCTTCCCCACGAGCAGTGCACTGGCGCCTGCGAGTGTTCGCGCACAACCCAACCCCGGCCACCTCCCTCCGCCGCCACCGCAGCGTCTCCCCTTCCAACGACGGCACGGCCGCCATCCGCGTCTCCCCTGACCCCGCGCCTGCCGGCCTATCCTCTACCCGCGCCGACGGTGGGTGGGGCGAGTCAGAGTGGGACTCAAGCAGCAGCAGCAGCGGCAGCAGCGACGGTGAGACGGGGAGCCTCCCAACCGCACAGGGCAATGCAGCATCAACAGCAACAGGCGACCCCGCAGCGTCAAACCAGGCAGCCATGGCCTGGACATCAGCGTCATCATCGTCCGCAGCACGAGCGGCGCAGGAGACGGTACTCTCATACCCCACCATAGACGGGCGAGCAATAGGCGTGAAAGGCGCGGTTTGGGAACTCAAGTGCCGAAGACGCCCACCACGTGGCACTCTCCGCGCCTCTCGTCCGACCCACAGTTGATGGACGATCTACGGGCGAGTCTGAAGCAGGACGTCGCGGCGCTCCCGCCGCTCACCACGGCCTCGACGTACTTCTTCGGCAAGGCCGCGGCGCGTGCGGCGCGCCTCGCGCTGATCGCGGAGCAGGTGCACGACGACGGCAGCCTCGCCGCGGTCCTGCCGCCGCTGCGCGCCGCGCTGACCGCCTGGCTGGACGGAACCTTCCCCGGAAACCGCCTTCTGTACGACCCCACGTGGGGCGGTGTGGTGAGCGAAGCCGGGTCGCGCGACAAGGGCGCGGATTTCGGCCTGGGGATGTACAACGACCATCATTTCCATTATGGTTACTTCGTCTACGCAGCCGCGACCGTCGCGAAATTCGACCCGATGTGGGGTAACCGTTACCGCGCGCAGCTCGCGGCGCTCGTCGCGGACTACATGTCGGTGAACCGAACCGCGTTGTTCCCAAGGCTGAGGCATTTCGACGCGTACGCGCTGCACTCGTGGGCGAGCGGGCTGTTCGACTTCGCGGACGGGCGCAACCAGGAGAGCTTCAGCGAAGCCGCGAACGCGTACTATGCCGCGTTCACCTTCGGCGACCTCCCATTGGCCACCCTCGGCGCCACGCTGGCGGCCGTCGAGTCCGTCGCGGCGCAGGTGCTGATGCAGGTGCCGGTAGCGGGAAGTTCCTCTTCCCCCACGCCATCGCTGTCGCCCGCGTACGAGCCGGTATTCGCGGACGCGAATCGCATGCTCGGCATGGTGTGGTCGACGAAGCGCGATGCGGGGCTGTGGTTCGCGGCGCCTGCGGAGCTGGACAAGCGCGTGGGAATCCAGGTGCTGCCCGTGACGCCCTTCCTTGCGCACCTCTTCCCGGACCGCGCGTACGCGCGCCAGCTGGTGGAATGGGCGCAGCCCGTGCTGAGCGGGAGCGGCGTGACTGACGAGTGGCGGGGCTTCGCGTGGGCGCTGCAGGCTCTGTATGATCCCGCGGGGGCGAGGGGTAGAATCTCCGCGCTGGGCGCTTTTGATGATGGGAATTCCAAGACGAACATGCTCTGTTGGCTCGCTTCCCACTCGCCGTAGCTTGACTGAACACATTGACTGGAATATGAAAAATTTCTAAGCATTCATCGCTTTCAAATTTGTGTATTATGAAAGCGAAGCTGACTATAACGCAATTTTGAGCATCGTCGAAGCACGTTATTCGCCTTCTCCGAATATATAATGTGGGTTGGGGTCATTCTTCCCCCACCCACGTCTCTCATTTTTACAATCGCTCAAGTTCAATTCCCAGTTCCGAGACCCATCCCGATTTTTTCGGAGGCTCCGACTCCCTTCCGATTTTTTCGGACCTCAACCTGGCGAGGGTGAAAACCCTTCCACGCTTTCAAGCACCCTCTACCCTGCTGTCGGATATTCTTAACTACAATCAAGCTTCGATGGCGCCGAGCGACAACGCCCCGAATCGTTCGGACAACGAGAAGAATACCCGTGAAATTACGGGAGATCGCCGCAACAAGCGGCGGGCGGACGACGAAGGCAACGCGCCCACTGGTGTCGACCTTTTGACGCGCAGAGGCGAAGTCAACAAAACCGCCAACCAGCAGCACGCCTCGGCACCTGTGGCGCCAGTGGCGCCAGTGGCGCCTGTGGCGCAAGTGGCGACGACGGCACCTGCAACACCTGTGGCGCCACACGCGCCTGACGCCGAGCACGCGCCAGCACCTGTGGCTGGACCGTCGCGTCAGCGCCAGAGGCGCCGAACTGGGTCTTCGTCTGACGCGACGGCTGACCCTGTTTTGACTCCGGCGCTGACTGCTGACCAAGTCCAAGCGCTTTTGGCGCTGTTACAGCAGCAGCCGCCGGCGGTTACGGCTACAGCGACAACAATTTCTGCATCTGCTAAAAACGCAAACGCAAGAAACGAATTGGCGCGTCACCCTCGCGCAACCGAAGTCCCTCGTGCCGAAAGGGAACACGCTGCTGCTGCGGCGCCCAACAATGTCAACGACGGCAGCGACTCTGAAGATGAAGCGGGTGAGGCCAACGCACACACTAATTTTATTGCACCTACCGAGCATCTTCCTCCACTCCCCTCCACCAACCCCACCATTCCGGCATCCTCATTTCACCACGCCGGCGTACGCGAGCAAGCCGAATTTCTGGAGGACCTGCGCGCGTACCTGAAGCACTCGGAGCACAAGATACGTCACGGCGATACGGCTGGCGCCCTCGAGCACTTCGACGAGGCGTACGCGCTCATCGCCGATCGCTTCCAACTCCTCCAAGTTGCCGACGCATCCGACTTCAAGACGGCGCACCGCTTCAAGCTCTACCAGCAGAAAAGCGTGCTGACGTCGCGCCCCTTCAAGCAGGCGGTAGCGGACGTGGCAGCGATGAAGCGTGCCCAAGGTTCCTACGGTCGCGGTTCTTCCCTTGGAGGCCGAGGCTCGGGGTTTGGCGGCAAAATTGGCACGGCCCCCGGCTGCGATGCTAGGAGCTTCCGCGGCACCTGCTTCCGCTGTGGCCAGCCGGGTCACACCGCCAGCGCATGCCCTGCTGGTGGGCACGGCCCTCACGGACCCGCGTCGGTGGTTTAAGCTCGACGAGGAGCATAACCGCACAAAGGCCGTTGGTCGTGCCCGTTGGGCTGTTTTTATTTTCTAGTCGCCGTTTGGCTGGCCTTAATTACCATTTTTGGGTCTATGGCGTTTGCCTATAAGCTCTTTAGAGCATCATGAAGTCGATCTTCTCGTGAAATTTTGTTGTGAATGTTTTCCCTAAGGGGAAGAGACCATAGATGATCTTAGGGCGTTTGCCTAGAAGATTGCTATAAACCCTATGAAGTTGTTCTCATTGAATATATTTTTTTGATGTGCATTTTGTTGAGATGACGAGGAGAAGCATTCACCATGTGTCTCTTGGTTGCTCTTGAGTTTCTGCCCCATGCCTCAAGAAGGTTCTTGGAGAGAGGCAACGAAGTCTCGAGAAGCTTAATACCTCAACAATCATAGGAGAAACTGAAGGGCAAACAACCTTGCCATGAACTCACTCTAAAAAAAAAAAAAAAAGTAATCGGTTCTCGTGCCGGCAAGAAGGGTTATCCCACTCGAGCGTCAATGCTTCCTCGATAAACCAAAAAAAAAAAAAAAAAAATGCTAACTGTCATGTGTTGGATCTTTGTCTACTACCATGTGCAGGCATTCCGATGCATGCCATGGGGCAGCAAGACGACCCTTTTGAATACGTAGTGACGGATTTGACAATTTCCGTCATGCGAGGGCGGTTGCGATCCGCGTTGGCTTGGTGGCGTACATGGTGTACGAGCAGTCTTATCTTATCAATAATCGAACGAGGCTACTGGATGCCGTGGAAGCAAGGACCGCCACAACCATTTCGGTGCTCCAATCATGCCGGAACTTATGCTCACATGGATTTTACACGATCAGCCATCATGGACCTTCTTCGAACCGGAGCAGCAATCGAGGTACCAACGTCGGAGCTGGTATGCATCAGTCCTCTCAACGTCGTCGAGCAGCGAGCCAAATGTCATCTCATCCTGGATCTACGCAAAGTTAATAGCGAGCTTTGCATTCCGAAGTTTAAGTACGAAGGACTTTCTCGCGTGTCGGAACTAGCACATCCGGGTGATTGGATGTTTTCAATTGATATCAAGTCAGGCTACCACCACGTTGACATCCACGCGTCCTGTTGGAAATTCTTGGGTTTTCAGTTTGAGGGGCGCTCATACTGCTTCCGATCACTTCCGTTCGGACTAGCAACGGCGCCCTTCGTCTTCACTCAATTGATTAAACAGTTGGCACGGCGATGGCGAGCAAAAGGGGTCCGCGTCATCCCATATGTGGATGACATCCTCTTCTTGTGCCACACAGAAGTTGAGGCCCGGGACGTCCGCATCTGCACAATCAACGACCTAAGAGAAGCTGGACTCGTGATCAACGCCAAAAAGTCGCATCTCGAGCCGACTCAGCAGCTACGATTCCTAGGATTGGAGCTCGATACCCGGTGTAGACAATTTTCTGTCGGCAACGAGCGACGAAGTGTCTTGCAATCAACCATTGTTTCATTATTGGAAGCAGGACGCACGTGTCACAGGCATGCTCGCCTCCATGACCCTTGCCCTTGGGGCAATAGCGAGAGCATTCAGTCATGCACTACTACAAACTATCAACGACGCCTCGTCATGGAACAGCAGGGTGTCGCTGTCCCCGAGCGCATGCGAAGAGTTGGAGTTCTGGTCAACTGAGTTCGACCACTTCAATGGCGCCCCATTTCATGTTCGAGGTAGCTACGATGCAATCTTCCATGTCGACGCCAGCGCGCACAGTTGGGGGGCCACACTCGACATGTTCTCCACGGGCGTTCACAAGGCCTGCTCGAACATGCCCCAGGAATTACTTTGCACTTCAAGTACTCGTCGTGAGTTAGAGGGGGTGTTTTGGGCACTTCAAACTTTCACCGGCTTCATCCAGAACAGGCATGTGCTCGTGCGTGTCGACAACCAGGGTGTATTCTTCATCCAAAAAAAGGGTGGGTCACGCAACAGCTCACTCACTACCACTTGCAAAGACATCATCCGCATCTGCATGACTCATCGCATTCGCTTGATCATGGAATGGATCCCCCGCGAGCTTAACACGCTCGCGGATGAGCTCTCGAAGACTCTCGACAGAGACGACTACACCCTGAAGGCACCATGGTTTAACCTTCTCGAGAGGCGTTGGGGGCCACACTCTATAGATCTCTTTGCCAGCGCTGCGAATGCCAAACTCCCCCGATTCTGCTGCGAACACCCACATCCTAAGGCGACAGCGATCAACTCCTTCAAGCTATCCTGGGCTGCTGAACATGGCTTCGCTTTTCCACCGCCACAATTGATCCCGGCAGTCCTTCACCACGCACAGAGGACAGCAGCCTCACTGACACTCATCGTTCCCTTCTGGCCTGGGGCTAGCTGGTGGCCTCTTCTTCAACCCTCGCCGCCCGCCTGGGCCTCGCAGATCCGTGACTCCTTGAAACTTACTCACGGAAGCCAATGCCTTGCACCTGGCACGCACACCACCGCATTCTCGGGTTCCGGCCTCCCCCATAGCATGATGATGGCCCTGCGCATATCCTTCCGCTAACACATTGCTCGCGCCCTCTCTGATCGCTTCAGGGCTACTTCGCTCGCTGCAGAGCCAATTGCTCTCTATGATGCTGCAAACGCGTGCGGAATCTACGATCAAGACTTACGAACCATACTGGCAGCAGTTCCGTTCATTCTGCATCAAGGCTAAGCTACCATTCCTGCCTGCACGAGATATGACACTCGCCCTATACCTCGTTTACGCCATTCGCCACCAAGCCACCTTCTCAGTGGTGCAACTCACTTGTTCGGCGGTTGGTTTCGCCCACCGCATGATTGGGGCTGCTTGCCCAACTATCGGCCCAATGACATCTCAAGTCCGAGAATTTGTGAAGCGCCACTGCCCTCGGCCCCACAGGACCAAAGAACCAGTGTCTCTTCACCAAGTGCACGCCATGGCCGCACACTTCATTGGTTCGGACGACCCGTCCACCTTTCAAAAAGGACTCATACCACTTCTAATGTACGCCGGTTTCCTGCGGTATTCGGATCTCACCTCCATCTGCTGGAACGATATCCAGTTTGAAGACGATGTCATGTGGCTACTCATCCCGCGCTCAAAGACGGACCAAGAGGCGAAGGGCGCATGGGTGCCTATTGCCGCAAGTCAGGGACCCTTCTGCCCCGTTCGATGCACCAAGCGATTCATCCAACTGGCAAGATATGGTCCTTCCACACCAGGGCCATTAATCCGAGTCTTCGGTTCGGCTACGAAAGGCTCACTCCCGGTCAAACCACCGTCGTACACCACCATACGCAATTGGTGCAAGGAAGCTTTTCTCGCCATCGGCCTTGGTGACCATGCTCTTGGTACCCACTCCTTTCGCAAAGGAGCAGCAACTGTAGCAGCAAACGCAGGAATCGAGGATCGACTCTTCAAACAGCTTGGCCGTTGGCGCACTGAATCAGCCAAGGAAATGTATGTCACACCCAC